ATCTAAGCTAAAGCTAAGCTAAAGCTAAACTAACACGAAGCTAACGCTAAGCTAAAGCAAAGCTAAAGCAAAGCTAAAGCTAAAGCTAAAGCTAAGCTAAAGCTAAAGCTAAGGCTAAAGCTCCCAGGGGACTGGGGAAACCGCGGGGCGGGGACTGGGGGAAACGCCCGGGGCGGCTTCCATTGCCCAGCCCCTTTAGCTAAGAGAGTAAGAACCCTTCTAGGCAGAGCCTCGGTAGGGAACATGGACTTTGGACAGACATACACACATCCATACAATCATAGCACATATACAAACATGGACACACACAAGCATGCAGACATGAACACCTACTACGCATACACACGAGCAGACATACAGTAGTTATTGCTCTCTTCCCGCTCGCCGTGCGCCGCCGCCTTCTACCGCCGACGCCCGCAGCTGCGTTCGACCAAACAGGTGATGCGCGAGCTTCACGCGTGTGTGAAATAGTGAGGTGAGGGAGTTGTGCCTTTCTTTCCGTTTCTCATCCCAGTACTCACCATTCCTATGCGTCCATCTGAGTGTTTGACGGACCCATCATGAGCTTTGAGACCCGTAGCATACAAATGCCGCTAAAATCTAGTATCGCCGGGAGTAGCGATTCTCTAGCGAATAGTTGGTTATCAGCCGACATGGCCGACAGCGTCATTGATGGGCCAGATGCGTTGACGATTGCCGTCGGCTCAAACAACGCAATTGTTCATATGGAGGATACTCGTGCTCATGTCAGAGAGCTTGTCGCGGGCGAATTGATTGGCATTCCGTTTGGTGAGCGCGTTCTCTCGTTACTCGACGCCCCCCTTTTTCCTGCTATGGATGGGGTTCAACGTTCGCCCAGCCACTGCAAGAGGGAGTTGGCGCGCCACGTGATTTGTCCGCGATCTTGGAAGACATGGACGTTGAGTTCCATATCCCATCTATCGAAAGGAAACTGGCCCCCATCAGTTCCCAAGCAGACCATGGGCGAAGCTGCGCGGGGGGAGCTCCTGGCAGAAGCGTCACAAGACGCCCGGGGGTGATGCAATGGGTAAACATTCCGCAAGTGAGGTCCTCGCAAAGACAGAATTCTCATTCAAGGGACCACGACCCCCTGGCGAGAGTCAAAGCCACAAGCCATTATCGATGCCACTTTTACCTCGCCGCCTTGGCGGAAAACGAGGTAAGGAGGTCCCCGTCTAGGTCGCCTCTCGCATCCGGATTGCGTCGCACTTCTAGGAGCAATGTGGAATATTGCGGGGCATCTTCAGCAGGCATTTCAGGTCGGGATCGTGCTAAAGGTCCGCATGCGCAGGATTCTCGCACGCATGTCAATCTTGCAACATCAACTGGATATGCTCTGAATTCTTGGGCGTGAAAGAACACGACTGCCATCGCCTTGCGTTGTTGGAATGGCAACAGGCAAAATCAGAGGAGAGGCTAGCGAATATTACCCCAGTGCGACCCTACCTAGAAGTTGGAGCCCCTAGGAAAGCAGCAGTCGTTGCTATGCTATGTTATGTCATGCTGTGCTGCGCTATGCTATGCTATGCTAAGCTGCGCTATGCTATGATATGCTAAGCTATTATGTGTCATGATGCGCTGTGATATGCTCAGCTATGCTATGCTATGCTAAGCTGCGCTCTGTTATGCTATGCTATGCTAAAGCTCAGCGAAGCTAAGATGAAGGCAAGGTAAGCTAAGATAAGCCTGAGCTAAGATGAGGCTAAGCTAAGCTAAGATGAAATAAGCTAGGCTAAGACGAGACAAGCGACGCTAAGCTAAGGGGGCGTAACTGGGGGCACCGCCGGGCGGATGCTGGGGGAACCGCCCGGGGCGTTTTCCATTGCCCGGCCCCTTTAAGCCCAGAGAGTAAGAACCCTTCCAGGCAGAGCCTAGGTAGGGAAAAAGAGAGAGGCGAGAGGAGCTAGCTTCAAGGGCGCGTGCTCCCATTGACGAAAAGGACAAACATATTCGGAAACTGCACAATGAACAAGAGTCCTTTCAACGAGCGGCCAGACAGGCACAGCTGAAGCAAACTGTTGTCTCGGAAGCAGCCCATGGAACGTCGTCGGGGGCTGAGCAACGCAAGGGGGGCTTGAAGCGTTGACCGAACTGAAGCTCCGAGAGGCGAAGAACGGAGAGACATAATACATGTTTGCGAGAGGAGCACAACCGCAACATATGGCGCATCCAGCCGAGCAAGATGTAATCAAATGTCATAGACATGTTGAAAGCGTGTTATAAGAAGAAGATATGCGGGCAGCTGCCGTGCAAACAAAAAATATCGCAAGGGAAAATGCCAGATCGATGGTGCATCAGACCCGAGAGCAGCAAGCGGTCAATCGTGCAGAACTGCAGAACAGGTGGAGACATAACTGCAACTGGTTAGCGAAGACCTCGCACGCCGCGAGGAAGCACATGGCGACTTGTTAGCGATAAACGAATCCCGCAGCGCTGTTCAGCTTGATCCTCTCTTGGCCCTGGCTGCCATCGCGACGCATGCGGGTGCGTCGTCCTCTGGGAATGGTAGGTTGAGTGGAGCGGCGACTGGGGTTCGCAGCTTTAGGGGCCGGGAACTTCTTCCCACCGTGCCCCTGAGGTAAGACCTCAGCTGCGCGTCGCAGCGGCCTCGGGCAACCCCTTGGAATGTCATTTTTGCAGTAGCCCCAAGATGACAGAACGCATGAAATGTTCTACGCCATGCTACAGCGACCACCTAGACCCCATGGCAGGGCGCCGCGAACGCCGCGCCCCAAGCAATGCTGAGGCGCAGGGAGAATGCGTCAAGAGGCAGGACGTCGGCGTTCGCAACAACTGGACGAACGGATGCGCATGGCAGGCTTTAGTAAGAAACAAGAGGAACTCTCAATACACACGGGCAATGAACGCGACGCGCGGGGGAAGGCCAAGCACGTTGAATGATTGGAGAACGCGGCCAAACCGCCTGATCCCATGGAACTGGAACACAAGCAGCTACTGCAGACGGGAAAACCGCTCAGCGAGATCCCGACGTTCCCTGAGTTTCTTGACCGCCAGAAGAATATGCGATTGAATTGCCCACTGCGTCGGAAGGCCGCCCCCGCCCGCCAAATCCATCCGACGGCTCAGCTGGAGGAGGGGGCGGCGGCGGGGGCGGGCCCCCCGGCGGGGGGGGCGGCGGCGCGGGGGGCGGCGACGCGGGCGACCGCGGGCTGAAAACTCATCTTCTGGAGCCGTGGAAGCAGGCGGGCAAAACGTCGGAGATTAACCAATCCCTGATGCGACTACCTTGCGCGAATGGAAATTGCGCGTTACCCGGGTAATTTCGCCAGTTTCGTCCGATGCGTCTGAGATTGCGCCGTGGATTGCAAAGGCCATGGATCTTGAGGTAGAAGCGAACGCGGTGCAGAAGTCTGGCAGATATGAACGCATCGACGTGTTCATTGCTTCCGATATCCCAGAGTAGCTTGCCCAGATGAGACGGGAGGAGGATATGCCTCCTCGCCAGGTCCATCCCGCACTCAGGTGTCTCGAATGGAAGTTGAGGCGCGCGCTGAATCTCGTTTGCTCACTGGCCGTGAGATGATGCGCGCTGCGCGTCGATGGCTCTCTACGCGCACCGAAGACCAGGGGGCGATATTGTCAAGGTTGTCACTCATGATTTTTTAAAAACAAAAAAACAGACGGAGGCCTGCACCGTCTTCACAATTAGTGGATGGCATTTCACAGCGATTTGCGCCATGGCTCTGACCCATCTCCAGAAGTCGCAGCAGCTATCCTTGCGTGTTTCCATGAACAAATGAACTTGCATCCGAAGATGAAATGGGCCAGTGTAGATTGCGACATGGGTGGCGGCCCGATCGGATCAGATGCCAGGACATATGAGCGGCTACTTTGGAAGGGCAAAAGGTCATGGAAAAGGAGAGTAACGAATGCAACCTTGAATGTCCGAAGACAATTCTCAACGAAAGAAATAATCTTGTCCTTGCACCTGCCGCTCCAGGCCCAATCGATCAGACGAAATCGGGGAAGCCCTGACAAAATTAACAGTGGAAAGATGTAGAAAGATGCCCCATGTTGACATGTCGAACACGAGGGCGTTTGCCAATAGAAAAAGCACGGGCGCCCGATCAATCGCGAGAAACCTGGAGCGGCCCCGCAGCGCCACTCGATGCGCCGAAGCACAGCGCAGATACATGCAAGGGCGCGAGGCGCGAGGGGCAGGCCGTCTGCTCCGGAACCCCCGGGTTGACAGGACATCATCCCAGGGCCGCGCCAGGGAACGGCGGGGGAAAGCGGCGTGTTTCGCTTCCTCGAGACGCAGGTGTCGAGGGCCGCAAAACGATGCCCCCCCGTTACAGGATGCACAGGAACTGATCCCTGAGGAAGTGCTGGAATGTGACACACGGGAGTTGGCAATGCAGAAAATCCCCGACCCTGGCGGCGAGAAGGGTAGCCGGCAGAGCGCCAGCAGCAAGGGGAGTTGCAAAGGCGCAGGGGAGGCGCCGTGTTGAAATGGGAAGAAAAGGGTGACTGTTCATTCGGTGCCTGGGGGCTCGTTGCACAGCTAGTTGCTCGCCGGGGAGTGCTGATCGCGCGTGCTTCAATGCCATGATTGTGACCTTGATTGTGTTTTCAGCATGCTTTCTGCTTTCAAATGCATTCGACGACTCGGACGGAGTAGTTGCAGTTGCCGGCCCCGCGTGAAGAAAACACGTTATGACCGTGATGATTGTCCATGGCCGTTGAAATTGGGTGCGTGCTCCGATACGCCCGCGTCTGTTGATGAGGATGACTTTCCCAGTGGCGTTATCCATGTAGCACCCGCACTGCGCGCGGGGTGCCCTAAAGATGCTGTAGACTCAGCACCTGTCAGGGTTTCGGGCGCGGCAGAAAGGCAGGGCGCTCTCCTGTAGCAGCGTTGTGAAACAGAGCCCGCGGAGTGTCACAGAGCGTGCAATGCTAATGGTTCCCGCCTGGCCGCATCACTTCGGCCCAAGCGGTTTTTCTCAGGGCGGCGTATGGGAGATTTCGGCTGGGCCACCTTCTCCAAAGCCTCCACCTTCGAGGCTGCCAGCAGCGGATTGCAGGTCTCCCCTTGTGCCCTGGCGCTGTCGACCAGCGCCAACGCCTGCCTTTCCGAGACCGGCGTCTGGGGGGCGCCTGTGCCGCTGGGCGCGGCGGTCGTCGCCGGGGGCCTGGGTGTGCTGCTCGGCGTCCTCGCGGTGCTGCTGGCGCAGGTGACCGTCTGCACGTGCCTGGTGTCGGTGCGGATTGGCCTGTGGAGTCTCTGGAAGACCGCGCCGGCGCCTTCGCGAGCCGAGCGGCAGGAGCAGCTGGCACCCGTCGTGGACGCGCCCGTGCAAGTGCAGCTAGCGCTTCAGCATGCCGGCCAAGTCGCTGGTGCGTCGGGCGCTCAACCTGAAGGCAGGGGACGTAGTGTTCCTCGACTGCGGGGAGGCAGAGGAACCGTGGCATGAGAGGCTGATCCTCGCGTCTTTGGGCGGGGCGAAGTACCTGGTGCTGACCCCCGACGAGGACATGTACGAGGAGGAGATCGACACGCGCAGCGTGGCCGACTTCCGGCAGGCGGGCCCGCGAGGCGGCTTGCCGGCCGGCCTGGGAGCAGCCAAGGGCCAGCCGGTCTACCGCTTCACGGAGCGGCCGCGCGGCGCTGCCTTGCAGTCGTGGATCGACGCGGCGGAGGAGCAGGCCGTGGAGCTGCGCGCGGCGCGGGGGCTCGCCGAGGAGCCTGAGCCTCCGCCCTTGGCTGACGGGGGCGCGCCCTCGGGGGCGGGCGCCGCGGGCTCCGGCTCGACTGGCGAGCGGGCCGACTGGGTCTGCGTGGTCCCCGAGGGCGACGTCAGGCGGGGCGCGGTGTACTCGCTCCCGAACTCGCTCGACACGCCGTCGGAGGACTTCGTGGCGTTCGGGCAGCACGGGCTCTACGACCTGGGCCGGCGCGGCAGGTCGGCGGTCCTGGTCAGGCTGGCGCCGGGCGAGACCGCGGACGAGGCCTTGCGGACCTTCGTGGCGTCCGCGGTGCCGGACGCCGTCGGAGGGACGCGGACGCCGCCACCCGCCGAGGACGCACGCACGCTGGCCATCAAGCGGGACGCGGCCGGCCGCCGCTTTCGGGATCTGAAGAGTGTGGCGGACTCGTCGGAGCAGTGTGAGTTCGAGGACTGGGCGCTGTCGGGCCCCCGCACTGCCTCGTACGTGGTGAAGGAGATTGCCAAGCAAAGCGGGGGCCCGGTCCAGCGTCACACCACGTGGAAGCACGAGAACAAGCTCAACGATGACGAGCACAGCGTGGTGGCCCACGAGATGCTGTCGGAGATTTTGGAGTTGGCTTGCACCTACGACCAGGTCGACGTGGCCAACCTGGCGAGCATGGAGGCGCTCGCGAGGCACCTGCAGTTCCTGGAGCACAAGGTCAAGAAGAAGAAGGAGACGATCAAGGATTTCGACTCCCGGGACTACTACCTGGGACGCACCAGGAGGACGGGCGGGGCTACCATCAGCCCGGAGCTGCTGAAGTGGGTCGCGGAGTCCGCGGCCCGGGACTCAGCCATCTTGAAGGAGGAGCGCAAAGCTGCGGAGGAGCGTGCTCTTGCGCGCGCTCCTCCGAAGAAGTCATGATGGGCTTCGAGGCTGGGAGTTGGCCGTACCCAGCTGGTGCCACCAGGCCGCTGGAGCGCATGGTGCCGAGGGATCTGCTGCCCTTGCCCTTGGTGCCCGTGCCGCCGGCTCGGGGCGCGCGGGCGTTGCCGCGCCGCTCCGCCCAGAGGATCGGCCGCAGGTCTGCTGTGGGCCGCCGTGTGAACGACTGCATCGCCGCCCTGAACAACTTGTACGGGGAGGGCGATTTTTGCTCGAAGGCCCGTCCTTCGGAGGCACAATTTTCTGCTGTGGACATTCTCTGGCAGGCCGTGTCGGACGACAAGCCGCCGGACGACGCCCCCAGCCCCGAGGCAGCCCTCGTGGAGTTGCTCGGCATGGGTAGTCTGGGCTATGGCCCCGACGGCCCCACTGTGGTTGCGCCGTATGATCGCGGCTTGGTTTCGTGGCCTGAGTCGGCGGGCTGTGTCAGCTTGCTGGAGGTGCTGCCGGAGCCAGACCGCCAGGAGGTGATCGACGGTAGGAATTCGATGATGCTTCGCGCTGAAGAGGTTCGCCCAGGCGCCACCAAGGTGTACTGGGATAGACCTTGCAATCCGACACAGACGAGTACCAGCGGTTCGTGCAGGACCTGCTGGCCCGCGACATGGTGGAGCTGCGGACTCGTCGCGATTTTGAAGTGGGAGTCTTCTTTGTGAAGAAGAAGTCGGGCCGCCTGAGGCTCATTGTGGACGCTCGGGCTGTCAACCAGGCGCTGAAGCGGCCGCCGACGATTCACATGGCGTCCACCGCGGCGCTAGTGAACATGGAGGTCGAGGACGGCGCCCAGCTGGAGTTCTCGATCCAGGACATCGCGGACTGCTTCTACCAGTTCCGCGTGCCGGACTACATGGTGCCGTGGTTCGGCATGCGCCCGCTCAGAGCGAGGCAGCTGGGCGTGAAGGTGGTCGACGGCCTCGCGGTCTCGGAGGGGTCGTGGGTCTACCCGTGCCTGCGGGTGCTGCCCATGGGCTTCGCGTGGGCCATGCGCTGGACGAAGCAGGCGCACCGCGAGCTGCTGCGGCGGGGAGGTCTCGGTGGCATCGAGAACGAGCTGGTGGACAGGCAGATCGCTCCGAGCGTGGACTCTCCCCAGGTGCCGAGGGTCGTCTACGTGGACAACGAGATCTTCGTCTCGTCGCGACCGGGCGCCACTCGGGGTGCGAGGAGGCAGGCAGCCAAGGTGATGACCGAGGCCGGGCTGCCACTGCACGAGGTCGAGGAGAGCAAGACGGTCGTGGAGGCGCTGGGCCTGGAGCTGGACGGCCTCAAGCTGCGGGCCCGGCTGGCGCGGGCCAAGCGCTGGAGGCTCGGGCTGGGCACCCAGGCGCTCCTGCGGCGCCGGCGCGTGGCTGGCCGGGAGGTCGAACAGATGATCGGCCACTTCACGCATGCCATGCTGCTGAATCGCCCCGCTTTGTGCGTCTTCCGGGCGGCCTACGACTTCGCCCGGAAGCACTGCAGGGTGCCCGTGCCGCTCTGGCCCTCGGTGCGGCAGGAGCTAGCCAACGCGCTGCACCTCATGCCGCTGCTGGCCGTCCAGTTCGATCTGCCGTGGTCCGGGCGCGTCACCTGCTCCGATGCCACGCTGCGCGGCTATGCGGTGCAGGAGGCCGACATGGAGCCGCCAGCCGTGCGGGAGGTCGGGCGCTGGAGTGAGCGCTGGCGCTTTCGTATCCAGTCAGCCTTGCGCCCGCGCGAGGCAGCTCTGCTCGAGCGCCCGGGTGAGAGTCTACACGAGCGACCTCTACCTCCTCCTCCGCCGGGGCTCCCAGGTGCTGACCCCATGGGCCCCCAAGGTTTACATCATGTACACCCAGCTCTGCCTCTACGGGTTCCTGAAGGCCTCAGTGGTGCCCCTCGTCGTCAAGTGCTTCGGGATCTACCTCTGGCTGGGGCTCCTGGGGCCGCTGGGGCCGCTGCTGAGGGCTACTTGGGCGAGGAGTCAGGTTATCCAGCAGGTTTCCTAGGAGACCTCATCGACGGGGACGTGGACATCAGCATCAATCGGGAGTTCCCGGAGATCCCCAAGGGGTTCATCAGCGAGGGCTCGTGGAGGACCATCCAGGCAAGAAGATATCATAGGAGAGAGGCCATCCATCTTAAGGAGCTCAGGGCCGTGCTGTTCGGGTGGAGGCGTAAGTGTCGTCAAGCTAGATACCATCGTCATCGCCACTTGTTTCTGTGTGACAACATGGGTATGGTCCTGAGCCTCGAGAAGGGCCGAGCGGTGTCATTTCCGGTGCTGGTTCTGCTCAGAAAGTGGGCCGCCTTGTCGCTGGCCTCCTTCTCTCGCACCAGCGTGCGCTGGGTGGCCAGCGAGCTCAACCCCGCTGATGAGCCTAGCCGATGGCTCGACTCGCCTGCTGAGAAGGCGGCTGCTGCTGCGCTGGACGCCTGGCGACGCCGGCCCGCTGGAGAGGCCGCCGAGGCTTGCTCGAGCGCTTCCCGAGAGGGATGGCGCGCGCGGGCTTGGCAGCCCCCCTCGCGAGAGGGTGCTGCGGAGGAGCGGCGCCTTGTCAGAGAGCCACAGGCTGCCGCCCCGCCGTCTGCCTGCCCCAGCCCCTGTGGTCAGAGCGGCAGCGGGCCAGGCATCCTCGACCGAGCGGCGGCTGCTTTCATCGACGAGGTCTCGCCGATCCCGCGTGCCCCGCCGCGGCCGCCCTCCCCCACCAGCGTTCGCGCAAGCGATCGAGGCGGCGAGGGCGCGGCCGGTCGGGACTGGTGGACTCACGACGCTGGAGCAGGAGAGCATCACCCAGAAGACGAGGCAGGACTACGCGAGGAGGCTGGAGCGGTTCGACGTCTTCTGCAAGACCCACGGACTCACCACGGCGAGCGACGACGAGCTGGAGGAGGCCGTGGTGGAGTACATGGAGCTGCAGTTCAGCCGGGGGGAGCCGTCGAACAGCGGGGCCAAGCTGCTGGCCGCGATAGGGCATCGCGACCCAAGGCTGCACCACGCAGGCAGGCTGCTGAAGCTGCCCCGCGTGGCGAGGGCGCTGCAGGGCTGGCGGAGGCTGGTGCCGCCGCTGACGCGGGCGCCCGCGCCTTGGGCGGCGGTGGCAGCCATCGCGGTGGCCCTGATCTACCGCGGCCAGCGACGCGCGGCCCTCGGCGTGGTGCTCGCGGCGGACGCCTACCTGCGCCCAGGGGAGCTGCTGACCCTCAGGGCGGACCACGTGGTGCCGGCGCAACCGCATGCCGGGGGGACTACTGCTTCACGTCCCTGGTGCTGCGGCCCGAGGAGGAGCTGCAGTCCACCAAGACCAGGGGCTTTAACGACTCGATCCTGCTCGACAGCCCCGCAAGGTCTTTTCTCGGGCCCCTGCTGGAGCAGGTCGCTTTCCAGTCACAGCCGATGGAGCTCCTCTTTCCGTGGTCGGGCGCGGCCTTCGATGCCATGTTCAAGGAGGCAGCCGCGCTCGTCGGGCTCGAGAGCTGGGAGCTGACGCCGTACATCCTTCGCCACTCCGGGCCGTCTCACGATTGGCTCACCAAGGCAAGGAGCTTGGAGGCCATCAAGCGCCGAGGCCGCTGGGCGTCCGACCTCAGCGTCAGGCGCTACGAGAAGGGCTCCAGGGTGATGCGCCGCCTGGCCTCGCTCGACCGCGGCCGGCAGCTGGTGCTGGCCACGGCCGACCGACTGCTCGAGGGCGCCCTGAGGGACGGGCGCATCAACGGCTTCGCGCGGCTGCTCCAGGACGTGGGCCTCGGGTGACTTCGTGTGAGCCTAGGGCACGTGCCAGGCCGTTAGTTTTGGAGCTTTTTCAGGAAAAGGAGGGCTCTCGGCTTCGTTGCAGCAGCGGGGCTGGAGGGCCCGCACTTGGGACATCAGAGATAGTGCCTCACAGGACTTGAGCAAGGAAAAATCCATTCGTACGGTGCTAAAGCTTGCGCCGCAGGCCAGATGGGTCCACCTTGGCACACCGTGCGCAAGTTTTTCAGGAGCGCGCCGAGGCAAGCCGGGCTCTCCAGGTGGCCCGCTGCGCTCCTGCCAGTATCCCTGCGGTCTCCCGAACCTTTCAGAAGTTGACGCCGAAAAGGTGCGGATAGGCAATCAGCCGCTGCGAACCACAATTCGTATCATCAGAGCCTGCGTCCGCCATCAAGTGCCAGTGTCCTTGGAAAATCCGCGTAGGTCCTGGCTGTGGAGGCAGCCCGGACTGGCATGTCTGTTGCGCCATGCGTCTCTCACGCACACAGTCTATTGTAGATATGGAATGCCGTGGCGGAAAGAGACCACCCTAGCGTGCTGGGACGACAAAAGAGAATTGTTGTCTCCGCTCGCCGCTCAGTGTGCCAGTGCCGTCTGTGTTTTTTCCAAGAAACCACACCAAGTTCTCGAGGGTAAGGCTCCCGGAGGCCGCCTGTGGACACAAGTCGCCGAGCCCTACCCGCCCCGTTTGCTGCAGCGCTGGTCGCAACTGATTCATGAGTCGCTTTTGGAGAAGGGGCCGCCTCAACCGCCAGAACGCGTATAGTGGCGGTTGTTGGCAAGAATGGAGCTAGCTCGAAGATGCTGGCTCGCGTTCGGTCGCATTCGAGTTGCATGCTGCCCTGCGAGAATCATCCGTTCTGGCCTCAGGAAATATATGCATGTAGCAGCGTTGTGAAACAGAGCCCGCGGAGTGTCACAGAGCGTGCAATGCTAATGGTCCCCGCCTGGCCGCATCACTTCGGCCCAAGCGGTTTTTCTCAGGCCCTAAGCCATCCCACTGCGTGCCTATTCAGTCTAGATGTATATCTAGTGCGTAAGCTGCGGCAAGAATGGAGCTAGCTCGAAGATGCTGGCTCGCGTTCGGTCGCATTCGAGTTGCATGCTGCCCTGCGAGAATCATCCGTTCTGGCCTCCGGAAATATATGCATCTCCATGCTCAATGCCGTTCTGCCAAGGGAAGCACTTCAGACCACGCGTGGTACTTTCCCAGGGCCGAGTTTTTTGAAGACGGCTATTTCCACGCGGCGCTGTTCGAATGTTCGATTTCATCACTTCGCAAGAAATCCCGCTGCGACCATTGGGCGACCGCGAGTGGGGAAGGCACCCCCGCCCCCTAACAAAGTGAAATGGTTTCCCCCCCCCCCCCCCGACCTAGGCTCTGCCTAGAAGGGCTCTTACTCGGTAAGCCTAAAGGGCCGGGCAGCGCAAATCGCCCCGGGCGGCCCCCCCGGCATCCGCCCCGCTGTTCAACCAGGGTTCCCTACCTAGGCTCTGCCTAGAGGGTTAGCTTAGCTTAGCGTAGCATAGCGCAGCGCTGAATTAGCATAGCATAGCATAGCATAGCTTTGCTTATCCCATCTTAGCTTAGCCTAGCCTAGCCTAGCTTAACTTAGCCCAGCCTAGCCTAGCCTAGCTTAGCTTAGCTTAGCTTAGCTTAGCTTAGCTTAGCTTATCTCAGCTTAGCTAAGCTTAGCTTACCGTAATTTAGTTTAGCTTAGTTGAGCTTTGCGTTTCTCATCTTAGCTTAGCCTAGCCTAGCCTAGCCTAGCTTAGCTTAGCTTAGCTTAGCTTCGCTTAGCTTAGCTTAGCATATCTCATCTTAGCTTAACTTAGCTTATCTCAGCTTATCTTAGCAATCTTAGCTAGCTTAGCTTAACTTAGCTTACCTTAGCTTAGTTTAGCTTAGCTTATGCTGCTTTCCTAGGGGCTCCAATTCCTATGTAGGGTCTCATTGGGGTAACTCCATTAGAAATAACACTTATGATGGCCCTTAAATCAAAAGCGACACTGTCGAATGCGATTTCCGAGGCTTCCAAGCTCGAGAACGAAGTCTTGACATTGTGGCTGGGGCGGGAGAACGAGGCCGAAGGCGACGCAGTCGTCGGGAACCGAAGAAGCGTCCGCGATGGTCTGGGGCCAGTTCGTTACATTGTCGACGCTGGCTGTGGATGTTTCTATCATCGCTGAGCGGTATATTTCGAGCGCCAATGCTATAGATCATATCAGGGAGCTATTTCCTGGGGTCACCCTGAACACTGCTGGGGGTGCCAGCGCGGCCCTGGCATCAGTTGGCGCGGCGCGCGGTAAACTCCCGGATGGCTTTTTTCAAAGCACTCGCGACGCCCGAAATTCAGTGCATTTTTTGCGTGGGGGGCGGGGGGCGACGCGTGGATCGCGGATGCAATCGTCGCTGGCCTGCGCGTCAAACCCCGCGCTTACTCCTGGCCGATGGAGTTAACCTGACGATTGATGGGGAGATACCGCACCTTACATTGCCAGGCAGAAAGGCTTTAGACCGATGGAGCTGCGCAGTCGGCCCGGGGGCCGTTGCTCTTGAGAGATGGGCTCGCGCGATGCCAGGCGCCACATGCTACCTGGATGATGCCGAGGCAATGGGCGGCCCCTCCGTGGACTTCATCCAAACTCGCGCGACTGCTGACTTGCGCGCAGAGGAGTTGCTAGCGGCGCGCAGCCACCACGACTGGCATCCGACCCAGTCGGGAGATAATTTTCCGTCGGAGATTCCCATCGACATCATCGCTTTTTAAATTATTGCACCCGCTGTCGCCCGATAGCGAGGTTGGTCGCGCAGCACAACGGGCGCTGTCAATGCTCACCCGTCGTCGCCGACTCAATCGATAGATTTCGGACTGCGGAGCGCGAGCAAGCCTCCTCGGGTCTGTCTCGAAGAGTCTGCCGCGCCCTGAAGGCGATGCGCATTTTTATGCTACCCCCGCCCCCGCCGAGCCGAAGGCGCGTGAAGTTGTCGGCCATGGCGACGAAGACTTCGTGGGCGTCGTTGAACCACGCATAGAACCATGAGAGTTTGACGTTGAGATGTCGAATGCCGAGCGCCGCAAAAGGCGCGCAGTCTCCGTCTGACATCTCCCGGCGCATCTCCAAAATAATCTTTTGCATTGGACATGCAAAATGCATGGGGCCACTCCGTCGCGACACCGTTAGAGGCAGAGCAATGGGCTCGAGGTCCCCAGACGATGCGCTGACCCTCCTTGCTTCGGACACCTCACCACCATGGGTCACTGGCTCGCGGCTGACGAGCTATCGCAGGGGCTTCGCGGGGGAACTGCGCGCGCGACGTTTCGCGACCGGTTCGCGAATTCCATTGCGGCGCAGGGCGCAGGGCGCCCATGATGCGAGCTCATGTTTGCGATTTCTTGGTCAACATAGTTAGGGCCCCGGGAGGGGAAATGCAATTTGCGCGGCGCGGATGGCGCCCGCGAGCGCGCGAATGTTTGCCGGGAAGTCGATTGCGAATGATACTGCCATCCCGGCCGAAGAGAGACTCACGGCAGTGGCCGAGACAGCAAACGGAGCAACGCAGACGGGCGCCCGCGCATGGGCACATGCCGCCGGTCTACCTCCACCGCTTTGGATGCGAGGCGCACGATGCGATTGCATCTGTCATAACGCAGGACAGGACAGATATGTGAAGTCAAATTGGCAAACTATATTTGGATTCCAGTTTCCATCCGCCCTCATTCCCTTTGGATCCCTTATCCGCTACAAGCCTCCACTTGGATCGCGACATGAGGTGGCCTGAACAGGCGCCCCACATGGCCCCGGATATTTATCCGGGACACGTGCGCATCGCGGGGGGGGGGGGCGTTGGACCAGACAGTTATGTTGCCGCCTCGGGATCGCTCGAACGTCTGAACATGCTGACTAGGCGCAGACCCGATGGCACTCGACCCGCCATTGAGAAGTCGGACGCGCCATTCTTGATCCCGCGGCAGCGAGTCAAGAACCCGAATGCCCGATGAAGGGCGCTTGCGAGAAGGCCCTCATTAGCATTGTTTCGGCGACGACGCCGCCCACGGAAGCGGCCGGCAGTTCATCTGGCGGAGCGCGACCTGTCGACGACAACCGTGTTGTTCGTGAAGAAGATGATGATGAGTTGTTTGATCAACCCGCGCCACCGCCGCCACCGTCGATGCCCGACGAGGGAGGCGAGGCCGCAGGCGATCCTTTCCCAGAAGACCCGCCCGACGACGCAGGTCCGGCTCCGCCTGGAGAGTCTGCAGTGATGGGCGGGCTTGATCATGAACGGGATGATCCAGCCAAGCGAGGAACATGTTGCTTAGGTCGCGTGGAATAAAAACTAGAGAGGCACACGCACTTCTCTCACAGACGTAATTTTTCGGGAGGGGGGGGGGGGTCCCAAGGCCTGACCAGTTGCTTGCGCGGACCGCTCAAAACCTCGACGCAATGGAGCGCCTGGAGGATGAAAAGATCGTCTATCGATGCTCCCTGGAGATTGTCTCAGAGACTCCCATTGATTGGCGCGCGTGAGACGTGCGCCTTGCGAGTTGGACGAGCATCCTGGCATTCAATGCTGAAGAAGACCCCCCGCTCCACCGACCCTGGAGCACACCCCGGCACATGGCTTCGCATGGCCAGGGGGCCCAATGGGGAACGTAGAAATGCGATCGACAGATATAAAGCAGAGAAGTTGGGTTTCTTCGCATTTTCACACCAAAGGACCACGCCTCGAACTTTGAAGAGACATCTGTATCGAGATAACTCGGGCCACGCGCGACGCCGGCACCGATGCTGTCGCGGGCGAATGTTTGACAGATGTTGGCTTTTCAAAACGGGCCTGCCTGGCCACGAGCCAAGCGGCCGCCGCTCAGAGGCGTGGCGCGCCCAGAATGCCATTGCAATCGCCGTCGCCCGATCAACAGATGCACCGCGAGATGGATCGCATGGACCCCCACTGTTGTTGCAACCCTTTCCCGGGCGCGAGCCGAGCCCTTGAGTGG